TGCATGAGCATGGATCACAATGATGGCTCAGTCGCTCTTCCTCTTCTCTTCTTCCTCTCTCATCTCCTCTTCCACCCCCCTCCCCGGAGCAGGTGGCTGTGCTATTTTTCCACTTGAATACACTGGGTGGATAACTATTAATTCCTTCAGTCACTCACTTCCTGTGCACAAGACTGGGGCGCCACCAGAAGACAGCTAAACATAGACAACATGGCACCCCCTGGTACTCTGTAATGAGACACACTGAACCCCGTATCCTGTTACTCACCATGCCGCCCATATTTGGTATGTCTCGAAATCGGTCCNGATTTGGAGTTCAGTCAAGCTGAGAACCAGAACTTTGCAACAGGACAAAACCTGGCTACTTTCAAAGAATTTATCACTGTGTAAAAATGCCGTGCCCACCCTGCAAATTTGTCTGAATGCTATGACAAGGTTATGACAAACGGCACTGGCATATATGAAGGGTCAGTGGTAGCACTTGACATTCAATTACATTTTTTGGTAAAGGGCTGAAACGCTCTGGGGGATTCTGCAAGTGACCTTAAAAATGTGAAAATATACAGGCTATTTTTTGATTTTCAGCTTGAAATCAGGGGATGTAAAAGGATAAAATGGGAATATGTGGTGGCTGACGGCATTGCTTTTACGCTAAACCACACAACGCTTCATAAATCGCAGTTGTGTCAGGACATGCTACTCCAATAAGCTTAAGTGCTACACAAAGTAGTTGTAAATTAAAGGGGCGAAACACAAACGCAACAAATGGCCCTTCGCTTGGTGCAACAAAGGCCTGACGCATGCACTTTGCCAAGCAAAGGTTTCACTCACCTCGAAGTCTAGATCCTGGTACCTCGACTTTCGTCTCTGTAGAACCAAGACAGAAAGACAAAAAATAGTGTCGTCAGATATTACAAAACCTAGAGAAATAATCTGCTGAACTCTGGTCCCATCTCTAAAACATATATAAGCAAGTATGTTTCTTGCGCACCAGAGCTAGACTTGCATACCTTGAGGCTTTTGGAAGAAAATGGATCAGGTTCAAATGTATTTTCCCCTCAAGGCAGCCAGCCGGTCGATACCAGTGCTTTTCAAAATTTCAGTAATGATGAGAGGTTGAAATGTCTTACAATGACTCTGCAATGATCTTAAAGGCCAGTCTACAAGTAGTACGCAAACACAGGCACAAATGCTTGGTCTCGCTGGACATATTTAACACAAAAGAAGATACTGTCAAGAAAGCTGGGGTCTAAATAACAAATAAAAACATTTTACGAAACATCTTGTTTTGCGTTCTTCAACACAAAGTCAGTCATACAGATTTGGAACGACATGAGAGTGAGTAACTGAAGACAATTTTCATTTTTGGAGTGAACTATCCTTTTAAAGTTGCCATGAAATAAACGTTTCTAAACGTACGTTACTGATCTTACTGAAAAATCATCTATGCATTTTTTTAATACTGTAATTTTTAAACAAATTGTCACAACTCAATTTTCCAGTAAAAAAACCCTCCCAGAAACTAGTCTGGTGATGCAAGCCAGACTTCTCCAAAAATGTAGTCTACTTAAATCCCGCCTACAATCGTTCACAAGTTTGCATTCAGATCTGCCTCCATCCAGTCAACAACCTATGGATAGAACCATCTATTGGTTGTTGACGATGTCAAAATATAAAAGAAAACTAAATGTTGTTACTTTCAATTCTTTGCAGATTGAACATCAACATCTTTAGGTTAAACTTTCTTTTTTTTCCAGTTGTCTTTGGCTTAATTTGGGGGATTAAGATATTAGGGCATTACACATAAAGATTTTCTAACTGACAGTATAGAAGACCCACTATAACGCATTTGTGGCAACACTAAAAATGCATTGCGACACATTTCGGTGTGCATCGAGTACAATCACGCTCATGGAGCTAGAAGCATCTGTGTTCATGTACTAGTGTAGAGTTTACTTCTAACTGTCTAGACTCAAAGTCGTACCTCTAAAGAGCTCATCGATATAGTTGAACCGGTTTCGCTTCGAGACAGTCCTCCGCTTTCCTCCATTTCCGCCAGGAAGTTCTTCACAGCCGTGCGTGGCTCGAAGGGCAAGTTGTGCATGTGTTCTGCCTGGACAGAGTACTGCTGTTCCATTCCCATGTGCTCCATCCCAGAGGGCCCGAGGTTAAACTCTGCGCCCATCTTGTAATGCATCAACCTGTCGTGCGACAGAGAGTCCATGGTCATGCTCATCTTGCTGTCCTCCTTCAGCAGGGTGGGAATGCTGCTGGACCCGGCCCCCGACACCACGGTCGCGGAACTGCGAGGCAGGACCATGTAGTCCGTTTCCATCTGCCCCGGCTGGGGGTGGCCGCTCAGCTCCTGCTCGCTCTGCCTGGTGGTGTCGTCTGTACACAGGTATACGGTCCGCCGCATGTCTGCCGTGCTGTCCAAACACTGCTCTCCCAGATCACCCATGCCCATGGACATGTGAAGTCCAGAGGGCTGCTGGATGATCACTTTAGACATGATGTTGCCAGGCAATGTGGAGTAATTGAGTCCCTCGGGACCTTTCTCTTCCTCCTCATCATTGAGAGAGATGCGGGAGAGGGTGCCGGTGATGGTGGCCGCTCGGCAGGAGCCCATGTCTTTGTGGAGAGCTGCAGGTAGGAAGGAACATCATTAGTCAAAGTGTGTGATGCAAGAATGTATGCTATGCTTTAAATGTTGATTTAGAACGGAAAAGAACCGATTTAAAAGCAATAAGCAATGTAGCCAATCAGAACATTGAACATTGAGCAACTTAACCATCAGAAGTTAAACATTTCATAACAGACCCTTGTTAATACTAACATATGCAACAATAACGGCCCTGGTGAAAGGTTATGTTGACCCTGCGCCCCCACAACAAGTGATTTTAACATATAAAAAGCTACAATTCTAGTGGCAAATATCTCGAAAACGACACACTCTAGCAGATAAAAAAAATAAAATTATTCATCCTGGTTGAAGCATGTGTCATATGGGCCAAATTGTTTAATCAGCAAGAACCTAATTCACTTTAATTCTGTCATATTTTAAGAAAGATCAAATTAGGGCCCCTAGTATAAATAAGTTTTGATCTACAACCAACTTTTTAGGTTTTCTTAAAAACAAAGGATTGAAGATCAACAGGTTAACTATCAAGTCTTCTTTGGTTGACCAGTTCATCACAGAGATTCTGTTGTTTTGATCTAGTCTGAATATGACACTTCTTTGGTTTTGATAAAAATGATGGGTTGAAGATGAACAGGTTAACTATCGAGACTTATTTGGCTGACCAGTTCATCACAGAGATGTTGTCTGAACAACTTCACCAC